GAAGCCCGAGGAACTTCCCGTGAAGCCCGAGGAACTTCCCGTGAAGCTCGAGAAACTTCCTGTGAAGCCTGGGGCACTTCCTGTCAAGACTGTGAAACTTCCTGTGAAGCCAAGGAACTTCCTGTGAAGCTCGAGGAACTTCCTGTGAAGCCCGATGAACTTCCTGTGAAGCTCGAGGAACTTCCTGTGAAGCCTGGGGCACTTCCTGTCAAGACTGTGAAACTTCCTGTGAAACCCAGGAAACTGTCTGCAGGAAGAGCCACAAAAAGCCGAACACGATGCAAAGTAAATGTTTATTAAAAACCATTGAGTGAATGAAGATGACATTTTTAAGGATGGAATTGTTTTTAAGGCGACAGCTCCGCTCCGACGAGCCACTAGCTCGTCGGTCTGGTTAGAATAAAACTTTTCTCCAAACTGAATATTTTTAGAACCTTTGCATAGAACAAAATATCTGAACTGTTGTTTAAATGGTTTGATTTATGCTGAAATGTTTAAAACTATAATAATTCAGTCAGCTGTGTTTTCAGATTTTATTTTTAAAGGGTCAGAATTTAATTTACCAAAATAAGAGTTCCAGTTGACTGACGACCTGTTTTCTCGTCCTCTGTCCGTCAGGAGATCTTCAGCGGCAGGGAGCTGTGTTTTAGTGGTTTTGAGGCCTTGGACATCGTTTCCCCTGAAGGGCCCCTGTGGATTCTGGGAGATGTATTTCTGACGGAGTACTACAGCATCTTTGACAGAGGACAGGACCGGGTCGGCTTCGCCCGAGCCAAACACCCCATCGAATAATCGCCCATCAGTTACAGCTTTAAAGAATTTCCACCAAAGTTAATTTTCTTGGACCAGTCATGAAGCAGCTTGGATTTACAAACCATTGGACACAATGAAGCCGTTTTACCGGAGGAGGCCAACGTTTGATGTGAAAATGGGATTCGGGACATTCATTAATTCAGTTTAACCCACGAAAACAAACAAAGACTTCCCCACGCCCCGAATCATTTATTAAGTGGTTCAGTTCCTTGTTTGGCCACAGGACGGCAACAAAAACACAATAAACAGATTCAAGATTCTTTGTTGAACAAATTTATTAACATTATCAGGTTTTACAGTCGATTGACGGTTGTTCTTCCATTAAAATGCAAACTCTTCCAGTTTAAACCAGTGGAACGCTGCTGGGAATTAAATTAAAGACCTGAACTGCAGGTTCCTCAGATTAACTTTGACTAAAGATAACCAGTAAGAACCGTATTTTTCAGATGTGACATGTGCACCTTGTATCTCTTTACAAATCTCTGTAGATCCAATAAATCTAAATAAAAATGGACCTCAGACGTTCTTTAGTTGACAGAATAAACCACCTGAGAGTCGCCACAAGAACACACACTTGACCAATAGATAGGATGCCACAACGTCTTTGTGGGTTTCTGGGACCCATCCAGAACCCTTCCCAGTTTGGTTTCCATGAGCCAGAACATGGAGACACGTGAGGCAACTTTGGGAGGCGTTGGCAACCTGTGAAACTAAATTGAGACAGGAAACAGAATCTGACATTCCAGGAGCGAGACGGGAACTGCCATGAAATCCGTGGAACCAGAACCAAGTGAGTCATTGAAGACCCTTTGTGTCCCAACTGGAACAAAACAAACTCGTGGAGAGTCGAAACGATTTCATGCAACTCAGAGTGAAAAATGTATCCGTCTTGAAACGCCACCCTTGTGTTTTCATGTAAACGGCTACACTGCGATGATTTGGAAACGATGATGTCATAGCCCCGCCTACAACCTGAGAGCATTCTCTTCTAGCTATTTACATTTAGTGCAGGAAGTGTAAACTTTCTGCTCACGCCTTGTTTCCTGTTTGTGCTGTAACGTCGAACGTCAGGCAGCGCTACAGTACGACACTGTTTTGGGTTCTTGGTGTTTTCGTGTGGACGTAGACATTTCAAAGAACGGCGCCACGTTTACGAGAATATGTTTAGAAACATCCATGGATGGATGGATGGATGTTTAGAAACAGAAAAGGATTTGGAAAAGCTGTTTTTGTGTGGACTGGAGCTAAGATCAGGGACTGGTGAGTCCAGACTTTGTTTTGGCTTCAAACCAACATTTGAAGCATCTCTGAGACCTTTGGACATTTTCTGTCTTTGAAAGAAAAGTCTCCTGTTGGGTGGTCTCCGTTTGAACTTTATGTCTCATTTTTATCTCCAGACGAAGAGTTGTTTTCTTTCATGTCTTCATCACGTTTAGTTTCTTCCTCCTCATCTTCACTTCCAGCCGTTCCCTGGAAGTCGTGGTCGTAATCCGGCTTAGGGATCTGCAGCGTGTTCAGGGTCGGACTAGGTGACCTCCAGGGCTGATGTCGCCCCAGACGTTTTCTTCGTCGCCCCAGAGCCTTTGGACTGGGCAGGCTGCGGACCGATGCCTTCGACGACTGTCTGGAAAACTGCAGGGAGAACTGACGTCCTCTTGGCCTAGTTGGTGGATGGTTCTTGTCACTGAGCGTTGCCCAGCGAAATTCCTCTGGTCCCAGTTGAGTCGGGGAGCAGCAGTTGGAGCCAGTCCTGGAAAGGCTGAGGACAGAATAAACAGGTTAGCAGAAACATCTGTGGTTGTTTTTGAAGCCCCAAAATAAATGTAGTAATTAGGAAATGCACAACATTTGGACGGTACGAAGCTGACGAGCACCTTGGGGTTTCCAAACTTGGAGCCTCCTCAGTGGGGGAACGATTGAAGCCGTTCTGATGTTTCCTAAAAGAATCGTTGTTGTTGCAGGCGTCACCGTACAATGGTGGGCTGATGACTAGCTGAGGAAAAACAACAGAGGACATGCTCTCAGGTGACGGTGGGTCACTGCTGACCTCCCTTAAGGTGGACAGAGTGTCCATGGACTGTGGGGGGATGGCCAAGGACGAGCGTGGAGCTGTGGCCATGAGACCTGGGTTAGCCCTGGTAGGACAGCCAGAAAAAAACACCAGTGACAGTTGATTCACTCGGACACCTCTGATTAATACATTGGTAGAAGTATTCGTAGTACTTTGACTTTAGCAGTACCTCAAGTCTGTGAAGAAGCTGCTCGTTGCGTCGCTGCTGTGGCGTTTGAAGGTCGGTCGAGGATGTTTGAGATCAGGAGGCTCCTGAACACTGAGCAGTCGTCGGACTCGACCCAGAACCTGAAAGTTAAAAACACACAAAATAAACCAAAAACATTTATCCTTTGAATAATTTTACTTTATTTATGAACTATTTAGAATTGAAGTTGACAATCGACAAATTGATTTATGGCCACAAGGTTTATCATTTTTTATTTGCATTAAACTGACTTCATGCAGTTAAATCCTGATTTTGTTACGAGTCAGAGAACGAAGGAATCTTTTGTTTTTACCGACTCTTGGCGTCGAGTGAAAATAGAATCCTGTCGCTGAAGGTGACTGTCGGAAACCTCGGCTTCATCAAACTGCAGGATGTCTGAGAGTCTGCAGGAAGTATTGAACAAACACGTCTCAACATGCCCAGGAACTTTTCTTAGGTTGCATCGTACTGAACTACGTGGAGAAACAAAGATAAAACTTTTACTTGTCTGAAAAAACTACTGTTAAACATTAGCCCAAATTTTACCATGTTTTTCTATTTATACGCAAGAAAAACATCTGAAACACTCTAAAAAAAAAAATGCGTCTTTCGGCTGTTCCCTTCTTCAAAAGTTGCCACCGAGAACTAACAGTTGTTTTTACGCCGGACGCTCTTCCTGATTCAACCACAGACACTGAGCAACCACCGCCCTCTGTGGAGCAGAGAGCTGACAGCTGGGGCGCCCAGGGCAGCAGATGGTGGGGGATAGGGGCCTTGCTCATGGGCCCAGGGTGGGGCAAATGAGGGTGTAGGCATGTGTGGGTGCTTCACTTATCCCACCCACATTTTGATGGTCTTCGTCTGGGGAGTTGAACCGGCAACCTTCCGATCACAGGCCCTCCTTCTCTAACCTCTGCACCACCACTCTCCCGTCAAACGCTCCACAATTGCAGAAACTAAATTGTAAAGGCTTCTAGCTGTTCACACTCACTTTGACTATTGTGCAGGAAAAATTGTCTTCTAGAGTTTTGGAACTCAAAATGTTTGTGACACGAGAACAAGACCCTGCGGCTCGCTCGAGGAATAGTTTCAAAACATTCACAGTCCCGCGGGATGCTAGCTTCACTGCAGCCAGAGCCTCGATGGATCGGTGAACGGTAGTCACAAAGTTTTTGGTTGAAGTTAGAACATGTTCAAAGCATGCCACAAAAATGATCTCACAAAAGTCTCTAAGTTGTTGCGGTCCCTTCTCATTTTTGTTGCAGATGTCTCAAACCCATTTTGAACCTTTCTCAATTTTGTTGTGGGTGTCTCAAACCTGTCTCTAACCCTTCTCAAATTGGTTGTGGGCTTCTTGACCCATCTCAAACCCTTCTCAGTTTTGTTGCAAATGTCTGAGATCTATTTTAAACCCTTTTCGGTTTCTATCAATAAGTCAGGTCCTCTGGACGTGTACATCTACATCTACGTACACATCCAGAGGACCTGACTTGATTTTGTTAGATTATTTTACCTGGATTATTGAGCATAGATCAGGATACCTTTTCAGTTTCGCTGTGTCTCAAACTGATCTCGAACCCTTCTTTAATTTGTTACTATGAATTCTAGAGCAGTATTTTGACATCTTGGAAATTTTCCTGTAGATAAAAAGTCAAAGTCTAAAAACCAACGCCAGTGATAATTAACTTTTAAAAAGTTGGTCCAAGTCCGGTTGTTTTTACTTCTGCAGAACTCATAAATGAGACGACTGACACGGTGGGTACAAAGCGGGCGCAGACGGGTACGATGTGGGCGGACCAAATGCAGCCGCTCGCCTCACTTGTTGCAAACAATCTGATTTTAGAGCGACTGCAACTGAAAATGTTGCTTACGAGTCTCCAACAGTTGCACCAGTTTATTCCCACGTCCTGACTTTATTTGACGCACTGAGCTAGAACAGAACGCAGAGTTCTGTCCACACGTGAACAAACGGTGCACGTTCTGAGGTTCTGGCTGCAGCGTGGACGTTATCGGTCTTCAAGAAGCAGCTCAACAAAAACGCTGCTGGAACAAACTCGTGTTCGTAATCATGAATGGAGTGGAGGTCGTCTGACCCCATGTCGGTGGTGGAGCCGAGGAACGAGGCGATGCAGTAATCTGCAGCAGCGAGCGTGTACGGCGGGCGAGCGTCGCTGTCGTTCCAGTACATGTCTTTGGTCATGTGAGGAAGGTTCATGTGCATCTCATCCACCGCCAGCAGGGACACCTGGGACAGCAGGTGAACAGGAAGTGACATCAGTTAGGTTTCAGACAACAAATCAAACCAAAAATAAAGAAATAAACCGGTCAGAGACCATTTTTAGTAAATCAATAATCAATAACGGTTTTACTTCAGTGATAAACTCGAGGTAAAGGTGGTTCCATCCAACGTTTGGATCAGATTAAACCTCGCGTTCAAGTTCTGACGAAGATATAAAACAAGTATAAAACATCCATCCATCATCTTTAACCTGCTTCTTCCGTTTTGGGAGGTGGAGGACACCTGGACAGGTCTCCGTCCATCACAAAGACAACCATTCACTCTGTCTCACCTAGGGACAATTTAGAGTCATCAATCAGTCTAACATGCATGTTTTTGGTCTGTGGGAGGAAACTGGAGAAAACCCATGCAGCACGGAGAGAACATGCAAACTCCACCCAGAAAAGTCCCTGGCTGGGATTTGAACCTTTGACCTGTTCGCTGAGAGGCAGCAGCTCTACCAACTGAGCCACCGTGTTGTCCAAATATAAAACATATTCTAGAAATTTCCTGGTAATTCTACCCAACTGTTGATCTTTTTGTGTTTCAAAGCTGTAAAACGGTTTGGTGCTTCTCCAGTGTCCCACCTGAAGGTTCCTGTCGATGATCCAGTTCGCCTCAAAGTCGTCATCGTCCTCTCCAAATGGGTTGATGAGCTGCTCCGCTACCTGACAAGAAGCTAAAGTCTGAATTTTGTTCTGAAACGAGACTTTGAATAAAAAAAACACACAAAAGTACATTTCTTCTCTGAACTGCAAGAATCGTTGTAATGACCACCAGCAGCCACAGAGGGCGCTGCTGCTCAACTCCAAATTCAACTCGGGATTGTGTTTCAGTCATAAACAGTTCAATCATGAGAACATTTGTCCTAAAGTGAGCAGCTTAGAAGAATAAATCCAAAGTTCACGTCCTTCATTGTAAAAAATAAACTTGTTGGGATTATTGAGTCATTTTAACTTCTGACAACATACGTCCATCTGAACAGATGTTCTGTTGTAGAACAGATGTTCCACAACCGTCACTCCCAAACGGTTGGAACGTTGTTTAAAATGTACAAACATGGAATGAAATTATTTGATAATTTCATTAAATACATTTTATTCCCAGTGAAACAGCAAATGTGTCAAAGGTTGGATCTAAGAAACTGAACTGAAAAAAATAAATAAAGCGATTTAGAAACTCGGTGCAAGAAAATCTCAAAAAACATTCCAGGTTCACAGATCGTCCGTGAACATCCCCTAAACCTCCAGGACCTGAGGAGACCAGATGTTGGAGGGAATGTTGTCTCAGGTTTGGAGGATTCCAGCTGTCCACCAGTCCTGGATCTTCTCAGCTGCTGGAAACAGATGTTGTAAAACCTGTAGATATTTTCTGCATTGATGGGGTCTTTCCAGGTGTGTAAGCTGCTCATGCCAGAGGTACTAATGCACCCCCATACCATCAGAGAGGCAGGTTTTTGAACTGTGAGCTGGATGATTCCTCTTATTATGGAGAACGTGACGTCTGTGGTTTCCCAACAGAACTTCAGATGTGGACCCATCGGACCTCAGAACAGTTCTCCACCTCAGTCCATTTGAAATGAGCTCAGACTGGAGAACCTCTGCCCGTTTTCACTTCTTCTTGTAGAATCCTGCTGTTTCTGATTCGTACCACGAACGTTTACAGACTTTTGTTTTACGACCTTTAACTTTTTACAGATGTGTTGCTGTGGTCTGATTCAAAATGAGCTTTTTAAAACGTATTAATTCTTATTTGACACCTTTGATCTGTTTCTTTGAAATGAGGGTTCTGTTACATTTCACACAACGTCCCAACGGTTCTGGAACGAGCAGCTGGTTTCACAGCCACAGTTTTCTGACCTTCAGCCACCCGCAGTAAAAGAAAAACTGCAGCAGAGTGAAGACGGGGACGTAAAGGTCCAGGTCGTGTCCGGGGTGACGCTGGGCCGGGTCCAGAAACTGACGGCCGATCAGACAGGCGAAGAAGAAGGTGTAGACGGCGAGCGTGACGACCTGAAGACAAAGATCTCCTTCAGAGTTCTGATCGGGTCACAGCCACCACCTGGGATGTGATCAGAACCGACCTGCGTGTAGACCAACGGGACGCCCACCCAGTCGTACCCGAACAGAGTGGCACACCACGTCCTGAACTGATTCATCTCCTGGACACAGACAGGAAGCAGCTGATTTCTCTAACCGTACGGTAAATGGACAGAACGCTGCCGTCCTCTCTCCTGGGAGAGACTGAGCGTCGCATTAGCACGGTTCTGGTTCCTGTGGTGAAATCATCTCTGAAGCATGAGCTGCTGTTTGGTCTGCACAATAAAACTAGACTGATTCAGACGTTGTAAAAAGGTTTTAGCTCTTTCTGTTGATGAAAACCAGCAACGCCTCAGAACAAAATACAAATAAAACCTGCATGAGTAATTATAAATCTCAGATTCTCTCCTTGTTGTTTAACTCTGAACATTTTTCCTGAAACCCCACGTTGAGGATGTTCTGCAGGTCCATGCTGTCCTGGATCCGTCCTTCTTGCCGAGCTTTAGACGCCAGGTTTGAGAACCAAACCACGGGGATCCAGTACTTCAGGTGAGGAGAACGTACGTTCTCGAACACCTTCCTCTCCTCTGGGGTCATAAAACCTGCAGGTGGAGAGACACGATTCAAACCCTGACACCAGAACGTTCACACGGAGCTCCAAATCTGAACTTATGTCTGGCAGTAAAACAGGAAATAGAAACTGTTCACTGATTTATTCAAAGTTCTCCAACGTCTGGTCAAAATAAACGGCACAGGAGACACTTGGGTTGTTGCAAAGCTCCTAATTCCATCTGCAGCCCACAGTCCTGCTCTAATTGTCTGATAAGCTGATGTTCCATCAGTAACAGGAAGGAAGAGACAGGAAGCCGGACCAAACACACACACCGAGCTCGTACCGGCCTCCACCACGTGGTCCATGGTTGGGAACCGCTTGCAGACGGCCGTGCTGACGGAGCGGAAGATCAGGAGCGATGTCAGGTTCACGTAACGCATCAGCGTCCTCCGCAGAAGGCGGCCATATTCGTCTTTACCCTGAACACAGCTGCAGGCAGCAGAAATGTCAGACACCTGAGACGTGATGGGTTTACCACCACGTTCTTGTTTAGTAGATTACAGCACATGATGCGTTTGGGTTTCAGTTGAATCACACTATGAACTGGAAGAACCGGATAGTTCGGTGAACAGGCTAAAGATTGGCTTTTTGGAAAGAATGTCAATGAAAATATGGAACAAAACTAAAGCGAATATTAATGCAGCTAACAACCACGAAAATATCATTTCCTGCTTACGCCAGATTAGCACGAAGAAGTCAACTAGCATCTGCTAATGAGTTATAGCACAATGGTAACAAAATGGTAATTATTGGATCAAAATGCTAACTATTAGCATCAAAATGCTAACTATTAGCATCAAAATGCTAACTGTTAGCATCAAAATACCAACTCAAAATACTATTATTATTATTATTATTATTTTATTATTCGTTCTAGAATTGCGCCGCTCCAGGTGGCTGCATGTTGGAGCAGCTCTGTTTCATCCTGAGATTTTGCTTTTGGAAACTTTAATTCCTCTTTTTCTGGAAGTAAATCACATTTTTTGGTTGATTGTTTCCTCTGGTATCAGATGCTGTGCAGCTGGAAGTATTTTTACTGAAACTTTTTTTAGTTTTGGACATTTGTTATGATGCGTAACCATGGCAACAAGGCAGTTTTCTACAACAACAGCAGCTGATTAACATCTCCAAAGCTCAAATAATATCTCAACTACAGCCCCACATCTCAAATGAGTTGAAAAGGATGTTCTGTGGACGCATTCTCATCTACCTGCCAGCTGTGCTCGAGTGCCTGACCACTGAGATCCTGGAACTAGCAGGAAACACGGCTCATGACAGCAGAAGGACAGGATCTCAGCACCTACAGTTGGATGTCCGCATCGACGAGGAACTCGGCAGACTGCTGGGAGGAGTGGCCATCGCTCTGGGAGGAGTTCTGTCCAGCATTCGGGCGGTTCTACAGCCCGGGAGAACCGAGAGGCCAGCAGAGTCTGGGTGGACGGAACGAACGGCATCTGCAGCCAGTTTCTTAGGATCCACTGTGGGATGGACCTTTACAAGAGATCCTTCCTGTCTACAGCATCAGCATCTATAACATCTCTTAATGAAATGAGGATAACGAGTTACAACAACAAATAATTTCCCTTTGGGATTAATAAAGTATTTTTGAATTGAATTGAATTAGCATCAAACTACTGTTAGCATCAAAATGCTAACTATTAGATCAAAATACTATTAGCATTAAAATGCTAACTATTAGCATCAAAATGCTAACTATTAGATCAAAATACTATTAGCATCAAAATACTAATTATTAGCATCAAAATACTAACTATTAGCATCAAAATGCTAACTGTTAGCATCAAAATGCTAACTGTTAGCATCAAAATGCTAACTGTTAGCATCAAAATGCTAAGTATTAGATCAAAATACTAATCATTAGCATCAAAATGCTAACTATTAGATCAAAAATACTAACTATTAGCATCAAAATGCTAACTATTAGATCAAAATACTATTAGATCAAAATGCTAACGTTAGCATCAAAATGCTAACTATTAGCATATCTTATCTGACAGCACTTTGAGGCTGCTACTGAATTATTAGCAGCTGTGCTAACCCTGTTAGCCACACAAACCTGTTTGATCTGATTCAGTTTAGCTAATCAGTAAGTGCTACACCACAGCTACTTCCCGTCCATCAACCTTTGTACAGTTACTAAATGGTAAACGGACTGTACTTATATAGCACTTTTCTATGTAATCAAGACACTGGAAGCTCTTTACAACACAATCTGTGCCTCATTTACCTCCACACACACATTCATACAGCGCTCTACTAGATCTATACAAAGATAATCTGAATCTTTAGAGGTCAATCAGAGCTTTAGATCACATCCATACACCGGTGGGAGACGCATCAAAGACATCGAGGGGTTCAGTGTGTTGCTCAAGGACACTTCAACATGTGGCTGCTGGTGGGATCAAACCCCCAGCTCTCCCGTTGGAGGACGACTGCGCTAACCACTCAGCCACAGCTGCTCCACTAAAGCGCATGAGTAAAATAGTTTCATAATACACCTGTTATATAACTACAAACGTGTTGTACATTAGTTTTACTGGTGTTTACGTCATGAGCGCGTTGTGTAACGTTAAATATAAACATTGTTTAGATTAAGTGTATTTCAGTGAACTGAACGTAGCTATGAATCTATTTAGACCACAACGCATCACAAAATACTGACTGAGCAGCGCACTAGTAGCTGTCAAATTATTAATATTTGGCTTTTATTGAATCCTAGATGCTACTTCTGCTGTGACTCATTGGTAAAAGTCTCACATGCTAAAGAAAACTTAAGGTGCTGTCCACACAGGCATGGTGTTGGTGAGTACATACAAGTTTTATTTGATTTTTTTTATTATTAGCTGTGCGTCCATATGGAAACAGCATATTAGGAGCCCTGAAACAGTAAAAAAATAATAATAATAAAACTCAACTGGTTCCAGAGTAAAAAACAAAACCTCTCAACACACTATCCTTGTGTTTTGGTGTAGACGGCGAAAACGTAAACTTTTGAAAACGAGGATATCGAAGCTCCGCCTCATCGTGTGTGGCCTTTTCTTCTTGCGTTTACGTTTCGTACCCGTTGTGTTCTTTGCGCACATGCTCCACGCCATGTTTCTGGTCTTTGTGGCAGATCCAGCTCCACGCAGGTCTGGCTCAGTCACCACACTGTTTTGGGTCATATTCGGGGTTTCTGTTTGGATGAAGACGTTTCTAGAAACGGTGCTGTGTTCACGAAGATGGTTTTAAAAATGACAAATGCTGCTCTTCCACGTGGACAAGGCTTCAGATTAAAACCCATTCAGAGGGGCACTGTTCAGTCTGTGGTTCTGGGCTGATTGATTAGTTTTCTTGACTTCTACCAGCACGAGCTAACTGTTAGCCAGTTTTGGCAGACCTCATGCTACGCACGTCTGTCCACTGTTTTAAAGTCTTTACTTTGTCCTCTTTGCTGCTCTGAACACCAGAACAGTTCAAACCTTTAATTCTGTTCAGTTCAAAAATACTTCATTAATCCCAAAGGGAAATTAATTGTTGTTGTAGCTCATCATCCTGGTTTCGTTAGAGTTATAGATGCTGATGGCTGTGGACAGGAAGGATCTCTTGTAGTCCGTCCCACAGTGGAACCGAAGAAACTGGCTGCAGATGTTGATCCGTCCACCTAGACCCTGCAGACCTCTCGGTCCTCTTGGGTAGCAGGACTGCTTGAATGCCGGCGGACTTAACTAGGGGGACGATCTTGGTCCTCCTGCTGTCACAAGCTACGTTTCCCACCACCTCCAAGATCTCGGCGGTCAGGCACTCAAGCACCACCTACAGGTAGACGGGAATGCATCTATGGCACCTCCTTTTCAACACATTTGGGATTTGGGGCTGTAGTTGAGGTATTGCTTGAGCTTTTGAGATGTTAATCAGCAGCTCCCCGTTGTAGAAAACCACCTTGTTGCTGTTATGGGTACGCATCAGAACAAACGTTCAAAAGTAAAAAAGTTTCAGTAAAAATCATTCCAGCAGCATCAGATACCAGAGAAAATAATTATCTGAAAAACAACG